AGAAGATTTATTTCATGAACATTGCAAAGCTGTTTAGACATCTAATTTCTTTACTATCTACCCCTTGCTCCTCTGCGTCTTAACAATACTTCTCAACACCATTAACCTGTGAGAAATACGCGTATGATAGGCTCCGGACAGAAAATGATTCTGAATAGAGCTTTCACAAGTCAAAAATGTTAGAAACCCCTGACTTGCACAATTCATACTAACTACATTATACTGTAGATTAACACATAAAGGTAAAGTCGGGAGATGTAAACCAGCGTCATTGCACACAGTTATAAACCATAAGTGCTCTGCCATCAGTACGGACAGCTAAGATTTGTCCACCTGTGTCGCCGTTTGCACGTAACTCTGTAGCTGCAGCGACGTTCCTCCATTTACCCCAGAGTGTCAACTCTGGTACCCATTTCCTAGAGTCTGGGTGAACCCCTGAAACCGCCCGGTTTTGAACACCGACTGTGGCTGCAGCGAGTTGGAGCTGGATTTAAAAGCGAGCTTCTTATCGACTGCGCTAACGCGGCTCCCTAACATATTAACATTTAATGCAAACAGTAATTCTTTACATAAATAAACTTATATAATAAATACTAAGTACATCATATTGTAGATTAACATATAATACACATACTAAATCCCCACACATATTAACTTACACAATATATACTAAATACAATATATTTTAAATTACCAATAATACACATACTAAATCCTCATACATATTAACTTACAAAATACATACTAAATACATTATATTGTAGATTAACATATAATACACACACTAAATCTTTATACGTATTAACTTACACAATACATACTAACTACATCATACCAGTCAGTCAGTCAGTAGCATGTCCTTTGCAGAACTTTGCTCCTATAACAACCCTCCAGAAAACTTCTCGAACACACAAGCAAGATGTCCCGATTTCGATACACCCATCTGGAGATCATTCGCCACATCCTGCACCCATCTTTGGTCTTTCTCTCTTCCCAGGCATATACCCCTCTATTATTGTTCTCTTTAAACTTTCGTGTCCAAAATATCTCACTTTTCTGTGTTTTATCTTCATTAATAGCCAGCCTTCTTCAGTATTCCGTTCTTGAAGTATGGATGCATTTGTTTTCTTTACCCATGATACTCTTAGAACCAGTCTATAAAATTTGTATTCAAAGGCATTTTTCGCTTTTCAGCTTGTTTAGTAAGTGTCCAGGTCTCACAGGCATATTGTCTGACCACCAGATCCCTTTCTTATTTTATTTTACAACATACCAACAATTTTAAATATACCAACCTTTATTTAGCTTCAGTATTTCCACCGATATAAAGAGAGGTTTATCGGTAACTGAAAAATGAGAACAATATTTTTAATATTTGGTTGAGTGCTTCTCTCTTTACAAATATTACATAATTGTGACACATACTAAAGTATTACCATAATTAACACTGATGTTATATTAAGATCTTTTTTATTTCAGTTATAAACATGATTACTTATCTATAAACTAATATTTTATGTTTTTGACTTCTTCCCAGTTCAGCTTCAGATTGTTTTACGAGTGATTTTGTTGTTTTAAATTCTCGGACGAGTGGGGCTGCACAAGGCTTAGTGTAGCTTTCGTGAGCTCATTACCTTTTTATTTCTAGGGATACCACATTGGGCTGGTATCCACAGCAGAATTAGTTTTTTTGGTTGAGGACTGCATTCTAATGTTTCCCTTACTATTATTATTTATTTCACAAATGATGCTGTCCCACCGAAAGCATCATCAGATAAAATAGGAGCTGATCTGGAGTCTGTGAATATGGAAATTTATTAATTAGTTCCACTCGACTATTGTGAGTCAGCAAAGCTGAAACAAGGGTTGATCTGTCTGTCTGTCTGTCTGTCTGTCTGTCTGTCTGTCTGTCTGTCTGTCTGTCTGTCTGTCTGTCTGTCTGTCTGTCTGTCTGTCTGTCTGTCTGTCTGTCTGTCGTCTGTCGGTCGGTCGGTCGGTCTGTCTGTCTGTCTGTCTGTCTGTCTGTCTGTCTGTCTGTCTGTCTGTCTGTCTGTCTGTCTGTCTGTCTGTCTGTCTGTCTGTCTGTCTGTCTGTCTGTCTGTCTGTCTGTCTGTCTGTCTGTCTGTCTGTCTGTCTGTCTGTCTGTCTGTCTGTCTCTCTCTCTCTCTCTCTCTCTCTCTCTCTCTCTCTCTCTCACTCTGAAGTTGGCGCAAGCTTCTTTAGCCACTGCTATGTGTGTCTCTGTACTACCATTGGGATATGTAATTCAGACACCACTCACCCCTCCCCCTTTTCTCTCACCAGCGCCCCCCCCCCCCCCAGTTTTGCTTGTACAGTTTTTATTTTCAAGTAAAACAACATATGAACACAGGTCCAAAGGTGAAATCGATACCGATTCCTAACCAGAATATACGATAGGACTCATTGCTATGACTCACCTTTTTTTCGACATATTATTCCTGTCACTTCCAAACTGTATTGGGCAGATCTCGACAAATTATCCATGGTTCTGATATAAGAGCTGCATATATTTGTAGGTCATCTTTTATATTTCCCTGTGTGGGTTGGGGGGTACCATTGTGGGAAAAATAAGAATAAACTCACTGCCTCCCAACAAGCATGTCACAGGAGTCAACTACTTGGGAGCTTCCTTGGAAGTCGAAGTACATCTGCCCGTGCGACACACAAATAAGCCAGTAAAATTGATGTACATGCACAACTCAGGTCCTAGCACAAAGCCAGTCTAAATGGATAAACAACCAGGACTTTCTGCTGCAGCTTACAGCTGGTGGACAAAGAAGAAGAAGATATCACACAGGCGAGTCTTTCACTATGTAGAAATGATGGGAAAATAATATTAAAATGAAAACCAAGAATTGCATTTGAAGCATCTTAATTAGAATGATAAACCTTTACCACTACACAATGAAAAAGGTAGAAACAATATTTATGGTGTTGCCTGGACAGTAGAATTGTAATAGCTTATGTCCCAAGCCTCAAAAGATATTATATAAACAAGAAAAGAGAAAACAGCCTGAGGTAGCTAGCTATCAATTTCGATAAAATGCTATTCTTCAGGGATCATGTAGAGGCAGTTTCAGCAAAATGTCAAAAAAGACTCAATGAGGTGAATATTAGGATAGCAATGGACATGGGACGTAGAATGCTTTTCACAATATTCTAGTATGTGATCACGTCAATGTAAGATTGTGGACTCGGAAGGCTTGATGTATTATAAAGTCAGCTGCTGAAACTCCCACACATAGAGAATAAAGGCACGGGAGTAACTCTGGGATATACAACTTCCACAAGGATTAAGAGGTGAGGCTTATGAAATTTATCAAAAGAGCCAATGGGATATGAAACAGATTTTAATGCTCTGTGTGTGGTCTTACTGAAAAGGTTCGATGTAAATAGCTCCGCCTATAAGAAGAAGCTCAGAAGCTCAGGTGTGAAAAGAAACAAAGCAATGGTATTCTCAGCCAGTCAGCTCAAATGGTGTCTAATTCGGTGTCAAGAGATGTCTGGTTATGCAACCTCATATGAGTAGCTGCAAGAGATGTTCATTTCAGAACAGCTCCGAGACGCCACAACAAAACTGATGTAGATCTTTCCCACCGAGAATGCTGCAGAAAGATTGGCTAACATATGCTGAGAAATATGAACTGTCCCATAAGGATAAACCAGGGGTAAAACCCATTGTGACAATCCAGGGTAAACTCGGTCATTTTAGTCAGACAATCTCAAAGCATGAGTTACAAAAAAAGAACAGCATCCCAAATTCATACTCAAAACACCCAAAGGCATAATCAAACACACTACAAGCAACTATTTCAGGGTTGGAAGAATCCCTATTGCAAGAATTTAAAAAAAAAATGTGTACCACACTAATGACTGCAAGGGAAAGCAAGCAATGATTATGCAAATGGCATCTATCATTTTGCCAAACACGGGTTTTACTAGGAAACTATTTATAGTAGCACTAATAGGCCACCCTTAGCAGAGGATTAGTGGATTAACAGCAAGTTTTAACACTGTCTCTATGTAATCAAGCATTTACAAATATTTTGTTTAAGTGGGGGGGGGGGGGGGGGTGTTTACAGATATCATGAAATCCGAGCAGTATACATGTGACTATACAGATGTTCAGAGTGCCACACTGGACTCTACTGTCTAACATTTAAAATCAAACTGAATCTAGTCATGTTTGAACAAAATTTTCATTTCACAGACACAATTTTTATGTTTAAAATCACTAAAATAGAAGCACATTGAAGAGTTCAATGCAATTTTTCAAAAAATAATGCAATGGCAAAGAAATAAAATGTGTTTTTTCTAAACCTGGAAGCTGAATGTGCTGTTTACATTAGACGACATAGAAAGCACAGGGTTTGGTCGTAATGTGTTGGTAATCTATAATTAAATGTATCTTTTACCCTGTTTATCAGATATTACCGGTAGATGTACAAACTGCATAAGAAAACAAAAAACGCCCCTGGCTCTTTGATTTACAAAGTTTTACAAATGCATTACTCATAATTAAACGGATGTAAAAATGTTAGTAAAACAGATAAAAAAAAAAAAAAAACCCCTCCTCCTTTTCCTAAATTGTTGAACGCCACTTATCCAAACCATGCATACCGATTTGTTCATATACAAACATGTCATCCAGGCCGCGTGTGCATGGTTTTTTTAAATTTATTTGTACACATGTCACACTGTATGTACACAACAGTTTGTTTTCTGTAAAAGGAGCAATAATGCTAGACTTTTAATTTCATATATAATTAAATATTATATATTTAATTTGGCATTTTGTGATTGTTAAAGTTAGCATGCCGACTGTCTTTACTTTAAAGGAATTCCCTTGTATTAATTTTAGGGTTCGTCGACTCAAGGGTTGGACTCAAGGTTCTAAAAATAAATCAGCCCAGACAAAGATTCAATCCCAAGATGATTGGATTAGCATAGTATTTTTTTTTCTGTTTTGTTTTTCCGAACTACAAATACAAAAATGCGTACTGACCCTCATAGACGCGGCCAAAGCTTTCTCCAAGCTGCATGAAAGAAGCCCCACAATGAGCTCTAAGCGAAGGCAAAAATAATGTATATGTAGACAAATTGACACCTTTGGTTGAAAGCTCGGGAAATACACAAATTCGAGCTCCACTAGATCCTGGACATGTAGACGTACTGTATTGAAAGGACAAAATAAGTCTGTTTGAAACATCTGCACTTGTCCAGCGACCCAGACTGACCTGTTTGCTACATCCGTGAGGATGGGACACCATAAATAACAGTGGCTGCCTGTCTTGAATACTGCGACAATGTTTGAGTTTGGTCATATTAGGTGTTTGATTGTAGGAGTGTAACATTAGTTCATGTATCTCCATGATTGTCTTTTCAAGTCTGTGAGCCAGATCCAGGTTATGAGTATGATACTCAATAAGACAAATATCTTTAATAACCTCATTTAACACACGGGACATGCCAGTCAGTGCGACGACACCGCTACAAGCGTCTGGGGTACCTCCTCGATCAAAGAACAGATGGCACGTGGTGTGTTCTCCCTCAAGGTCGTCAAAGACCACGTGGGTTGCTGTGTGTATGGTAATTATAGCAAAGTTTGTCTCTGGTGTAGAAGAGATCCTACACACCTTACATTTACACGTTTGGCCTTCCTCTTCGTTTGAGAATTTGATGGAAAAAACACCCCCTGTTCCCACAGTTGCCCTCCGCTGACCTCTGAAACTGTAACCTGGATAAGACTTGCGAATTCCAGGAACAGTTTCTGGTCTCTTGTCACTGACATACTCGACTTTCACACGAACTGTCAGGTCTGACACTGCTCGGATATAGTTGATTACAACCTTGTCACGGTAATCTTCGGGGAGATCTTCTATACAGAACTTGTCTACAGGTATAAAGTTCTTGTGACCGGGATTCTTCGTACACCTGGTGTAATGTCTGTGAAGGTCAGCCTCTCCCCCATAACTGTACTCACACTCCCATGGACCTGGTAGACAGATACAAGACATCTTGTCATGGACAATATTACATCATCAATGTATGGAGCTGGTAGATAGATACAAGACATCTTGTCATGGAAAATATTACATCATCAATGTATGGAACTGGTAGATAGATACAGGACATCTTGTCATGGACAATATTACATCATCAATGTATGGAACTGGTAAACAGATACAGGACATCTTGTCATGGACAATATTACATCATCAATGTACGGAGCTGGTAGATGGATACAAGACATCTTGTCATAGACAACATTACATCATCAATGTATGGAGCTGGTAGACAGATACAGGACATCTTGTCATGGACAATATTACATCATCAATGTATGGAACTGGTAAACAGATACAGGACATCTTGTCATGGACAATATTACATCATCAATGTACGGAGCTGGTAGATGGATACAAGACATCTTGTCATAGACAACATTACATCATCAATGTATGGAGCTGGTAGACAGATACAGGACATCTTGTCATGGACAATATTACATCATCAATGTATGGAGCTGGTAGACAGATACAGGACATCATGTCATGGACAATATTACATCATCAATGTATGGAGGAGGTAAATAAATACATAATATCTTGTCATGAACAATACTACATCAATAATGTAAATTGCATGCAATGTGTTTATTTTGCTATGATTATTATGTTAAGACCAATTCACTTTCGCTTAGTGATATGTTCATTTTAACACCACATGAGTCTCATTTCTATAACTACTTTTTTTCATTTTCTTAGAGAAGCACGCTAAGGAAAGTGAAGATAAGTATGCTTCGTGCAGAGTAGCACGCATCGCTACAGAGGTCCAGGGTAATGGCTATCTTTTAGATATTTTCTCAGGGAATACAGGTGTGGTGGCAGATCAACAGAAAACAGATTCGCTGGTTCTGCACCACTCGCTAGTAAATTAACACATGACAAGCTTGAAGTCTTCAAAACTCTTTGAGAGGTAATGAAAAATATGGATGCAAACTTATATTAACAGGGTCTGAAGAGAATGGTGCAACAGAGAGTGAAGAGGTGATCTGGCTGACACTCCACACTAAGACGAAAAGTAAGACGGAAATACAATCAGCCGTCTCCTGGTACCATGGGAACTGGAACTCTTCGCTGGCTGCCGAAGATGGGGACAGAGTGTTTGTGGGCATGTCCCGAGTGACATAAAGTAATTTCTTGAAACTCAACTCAACCTCTACCAACCTTGATTTTCTCTGTCTAGCTTGGCTAGGGTCAAAGTATCGGTTGTGTTGTCCTCGCTGTCTATGGCCAGTTTGCTGTTTACTGTATCCACTTCTACAAAAAAAAACACAAAAAAAAACTATTGTTTGTCTCATACATGTATATATTATTATATATATGATATTATATATTATTATATATAAAAATAATATTATATATATAATATTATTATTATATTATATTATTATTAGTAGTAAATTTTTCTTCACCGGCTGTATTCTCCAGTTGAAAGTCTAGTTTGTTCATCTACTTCTGGATTTTAGGACTTTTCCAGAACTTTAGTTTTGTGAGATTATCTATTTTACAGATCTGTCTATTTTGTAAGCAGACTGTTGGTTCCGTGCCTCTCATGCAAAAGTACTCTGTCTTCCAAGCAAACATCCCCCAACTTGTCACCTTTCACAACATTACTTTTAGGGACCGGTGGGTCTTCCCCCCCCCCCCCTAACCCCCGCTCCAAGTATGACGCGTCAGAACTCCCATAAGCAGGTAATATTATTAAAGTTCATTTATTACCTAAAAATAGTCAAATAGATAAAGTTACGGGCAACCCCATGGCAAATACCACCACAGAGTTGTCGAGTGCCACATCCTCACATATTTTAGAAAACCGTATAATAAAATGGCATGGTCAGCTCATCATTTGCCAGGTATCAATATCAGGCAATAATAAATGTCCTAATTACAACATAGAATGCGACTAGAAAACTCACTGGAGGGAATTGAAAAGGCGTACATAAATACAAGTAATCGTTTTGATAAAGTCTTTATCAACGTAGTAACACACCGTGAATTACATAATAAAAAAAAAATAAAATATGGACACGTAGGGCTGTAATGTGAAACGAAATTAGGAAGCAGACGTTTGAAAAATATCCCAGGTCAGTGTCTCCTGCTTCTTCAGGTGTCTCACACCCAATCTCACTATTTAAAACCTTCTCAATTTTCGACCATTCTCTCTATTTTAAAATTTCATAGATTGTAGCCCACTCAGTATGACTATTCCAGCTTTGCAATTTTTCTCTCACATCCAGTCTCTGTATTTCAAACTATTTATAGGTCTTCTAATGCTTTTAAAATGTCTCCTTCTTTCAATTTCATATTTTTGTCACTTGGTTTCTCTAACTAATTCTTTCTATCTGTGACTGTTTTATTTTCTTTCATTCTCTAACTCTATATATTTAAATCTGCATTTGTCACACATACCACATCTAGTTATGATCTGTCGTTCACATATGAATATTTTAACTTAAAAACTAATCCATATAAATGTCACAAAGAACACACACACACCCACACAAATACCTATTTATATTTGATAATTCTGTGTATTCCACTAGATAAAATAAATACGCACACTGCTCTTTTCTTGCATGTTGAATGCTGTATCTATACTCTCACATGTTGTATGCATACTCTTACATGTTGAATCTGTACTCTCACATGTTGTATGTGTACTCTCACATGTTGTATCTGTACTCTCACATGTTGTATCTGTACTCTCACATGTTGTATGTGTACTCTCACATGTTGTATCTGTACTCTCACATGTTGTATCTGTACTCTCACATGTTGTATCTGTACTCTCACATGTTGTATCTGTACTCTCACATGTGGTATCTGTACTTTCACATGTTGTATCTGTACTCTCACATGTTGTATCTATACTTTTACATGTTGTACCCGTACTCTCAGATGCAGTACCTGTATTCATGTGTTGCCTTTCAGTGTCTGCAGCTGTGATAGCACAATGTTCGCTTGTAGCCATCTTCCACTTGGATATTGCAAGCAAGATGTTCTGTATCTGCTGAAACTGTGATAACAAAATGCAAAGATAATTTTCTAAGCAATGTGCTATGTGTAACAAGGAAAGATCGAATTAGGAACAATTATATTAGGAAGAGAGTCGACACAAAATCTATAATGAACTTTACTGGTAGACAACAGTTAAAATTTTTTGGCCATGCAACAAGATTGATATGAGACAGAGCACCACAGAGAGCAGTGCTGTATAAATTCAACTGTAACAGAACCAGCGGTCGCCCTTGCACAGATACAACTGTAACAGAACCAGAGGTCTTCCACGCAGAGTATGGACCGCAGAAATATCAGAAACATTGAAAAGTAGAATACAAATAGCAAACAGAAATTCTCGTCCCAAAGATCTCCTGTCCTGCTGTTGCGAGGCATTCCAGGAGTAGAGAAAAGAAGAGGAAAGCATAGTTAAACCTCTTCTCCAGTTCGTGAAATCACGGAACCTGTGTCATGTCACGTCACTGCACATTGGGCTTATAATGCTAGACAAATATTCTCATATACCAGTCTGAACTTAATGGGCAGTGCCATCTATCATGTCGTCTGCTTTCCTTCTCAAGAGGGATAACTTGTACATATTTCAGGCTATCTCAGTGTGGGAGGTATAGGTCAGGTAAAGACAATCGATGTAATGCAGACTTGTGCCCATTGACATGACCTTTGGGTCGAAAGCAAACGTATCACTGCCACTGGACATTTAGCTACTACTGCTGCTGTTGCTGCTGCTACTAATACTACTAGTGCTGCTGTTATTGCTACTAATACTACTGGTGCTGCTGCTACTAATACTTTTGGTGCTGCTGTTACTGCTATTATTACTACTGGTGCTGCTGTTACTGCTACTAATAGTACTAGTGCTGCTGTTTGTGCTTCTAATACTACTGGTGCTGCTTTTATTGCTACTAATACTACTGGTGCTGCTGCTACTGCTACTAATACTAATTGTGCTGCTGTTATTGCTACTAATACTAGTAGTGCTGCTGCTACTGCTACTAATACTTCTCGTGCTGCTGTTATTGCTACTAATACAACTAGTGCTGCTGTTTCTGCTGCTAATGCTACAGGTGGTGCTGCTGCTGCTACTAATACTATTGGTGCTGCTGTTATAGCTACTAATACTACAGGTGCTGCTGCTGCTACTAATATTACTGGTGCTGCTGCTACTGCTACTAATACTACTGGTGCTGCTGCTACTGCTACTAATACTACTTGTGCTGCTGCTACTGCTACTAATACTATAGGTGCTGCTGTTACTGCTACTAATACTACTGGTGCTGCTGCTACTAATACTACTGGTTCTGCTGCTACTTCTACTAATACTATTGGTGCTGCTGTTACTGCTACTAATACTATTGGTGCTGCTGCTACTGCTACTAATACTACTGGTGCTGCTGTTTCTGATACTAATAGTACAGGTGCTGCTGCTACTGCTTCTAATTTTAGGTCGTTGCAAGACATGTAAGTCTTACTACAGAAGCCTGGGTATCTGAGAGCCTGGCCCGTTGAGACAATCCCTAAGGGGTCTATCACAATTCCTAAGATAATCTATCACAATCTCCCAAGAGAGTCTATCACAATCCCTAAGATAATCTGTCACTATGCCCTAAGGGAGTCTACTACAATCCCTAAGATAATCTATCACATCTCCCATGTGAGGCTATTACAATCCCTAAGATAATATATCACAATCTCTAAGAAAATGTATCACAATCCCTAAGAAAATGTATCACAATCCCTAAGAGAATATATCACAATCCCTAAGATAATCTACCACAATCCTTAAAAGAATCTATCATAATTCCTAAAAGAATCCATCACAACCCTAAGAGAATATATCACAGTCCCTAAGAGTATCTATAACAATCCCATAAGGGAGTCTATGAGAATCCCCTAAGGGAGTATATCACAATCCCTAAAAGTATCTATAACAATCC